CCAATGATCATGTTCTTCATCTGCGCTTGCAAGTACATTTGGATTGTCAGTGCGAAGACAAAGTTGTAGAGGAAGGGTATGAACCAGAGCGAGATCGGCCCTGCCGCCACTGCTATCTCTTCCTCCTCACCCAGAAGTCTCAAGATTTGTCTGGCAAATACGAAGAACGGAACTGCCAGTGTCGCCACTACACCGTCAACAATCCAAGACCTCTGCAAGTAAATTCCCATCATGTGGTAGTGTCCGGCGCCGTACGCTTGGCCGCATAATGTTTCGGTCGCACTTGACATGCCGATCTAATTAATTTCACATAGACAATAAACCCTCAGTTTTAGATTGACAGGGGATTGAATATTAAATGGATTAAGACAACAAAGTTAACTTTCTCACTTACAAGTTGCAATAACTACTCATTGCGTATTTTTTTATAAAAAAAAAAAATCGAAGTTGGGAAAATTCGTGCTTACGAGGATTCCATTGATGAAGCGTAGGAAAATGATTTGGACTAAGGCGAAGGTAGCGAGTTGGATATCACTGACATGGCCCAGGAAGGACTGAGTGACGATGATGAGACCGAAAGCCGTGACTCTGGCGATTACTCCGGGGAAAGCGATTCTCCAGATGGTCTTTGATTCATTCAAGACCTTCGTCCTCAGATTAGTGGTGTTTTCTTGTACTTCGGTAGCTGGTAGCAACCTCTCTGCAAGATTGTTCTCCATGGCCACTGTGCTTGCTACCTGCAGAATTTATGACTGCTGTAGCGAATGTTTTGCTGAATTTATAAAGGGAAATGCTACTGGACAACCATTTTTGTCTCAATTTTTTTTATAACTTGTGTCATTATTTATTAAAATAGTTAATTTTTTTAATTCACGACTCGTAATATTAAATGTATTCACTCATTTAATGGTATCTAAAAATTATAAAAAAAAATTAAGACAAAAATGTTGTCCTGGCACAACCTATTTATAAGTTCCAAACTTTTGAAAAGATTAGTACCTTAATAATGTTCGGCGTAAATGTAATTCTTCATATTTAATGACGCTTATTATAAACTTACAATTACCGGCAACGTAAGTACATTATTGCCGGATTTTTATTATCCTCCCTGCACTCCTTTTGTCTTTGAATAATATTTTTTTTATATTTAGAATTTGTTCTAGATTTATGGTAATTTTTAGAGTATTTTAAGAGAGGTAATTTATTTTCTCTGTTTAACATTATTATTATTCCTCAATTTTAATAGTTTAGTTTGTTATAAAAAAATATCTTTTTATTTTTATATTTTTAAGGGTAATTATAAGTAAAAATACAAATTATCTCTAAATTATTAATATGAGGTAAAAAAAACTTTTGTTATTTTAGAATGAAGGGAGAATGTAAATGTACAGTTAAGAGTGCTTAATAATTAATTTTTGTGAAGAAAATAATTAAGAGGTAATTTTGTACAACATTTTCATACTCCTCTATTCAAATTTAGTAAATTTAGTTTTTCTCTTGCTCAATAAAATAAAGATATAATAATTAATTAATAAA